TCTGCCTGTAGGTGGCAGAGTAAGTTAGACTGAAACTGCTGCAGCCTGTTATTTACCAACAACTTTAAACACATTAACTACGAGGAGAGAATCCATAAGCACAAGGACGTGAGGTAAAGGACAAGTATGTTCTTGAGCAAAACCACACTCTGGAAAATGAAATTCATATAACGTCCTTTTCACACATACAGGCAGTGGAAACTGTGTGAACTTCAGCGCGCGTGTCGACTGTTTTCCTGCAGCAGGAGGAGAGCGCCATATGTGCTCCGACAAGCCAATTGTCACATTTAATTTAAATTAGGCCTCTCACAGTGTAGCATGTGGCGATATCAGCAAGCGGAGAGAATTTCAATGTGCTGCACAGCGCTGACGTTTTAAGAACTGGAAAATAGTGTAAATCCATGAATGTCTTCTATTTATCCGTTAACTGTTTACAAAGAGGAGAACCCTAAATTTATTCAATATTCGATTCCAGTTCTCCTCGGTACACTTGAACACAGTTTTTCCACGATGTTTGGCAGTTAAGATTGTTCAGCACCTTGGAGGACTTTGTGTAATCCCAGACCCAGTCAGTGGTGTTGAGATCACTGTTGTGTGGAGGACAAAACATCTATTGCAGCACCCCCAGTCGAAGATAATTCTCTCTAACTGGCAGTGAGTTTGGGGTTGTTGTTGTGCTACGGAATGAAGTTGGAACCATTTCGACACCTCCCTGACGGCACCGCGTGATGGATAAGAATATAAAGTCTAAAACTTTAGCACAGTGGACAAGCTGTGTATCCTAGTGACAGAGAAACAAGTTTGCATCCTTGTGCTAAACCTCTCCTGGTCAGCCGAAATGTCCAAACACCTTGCTTGTTTGAGCCTTAATGCCTCGAGCAAGGCGATGGATCTTCAACAGGAAGGAAGAACGGCATCAGTGACACATTGTGACACGAAAGGCAAACTCCTGAATATTCAGATAAATCACACATAAATACGTCTTCAACATAAATATCTTTATACAGTGCTTACATAAATGAAGCAAACAACAAAAGGTAAACTGAACATTGCCATGTTTATAGTCCTAAGCTTCCTCTTGCCTGACTAAAACTGTGCTTTTATTCTCCTTGCCTCTTTAAATAAGGGCCATTGATAATATTACAGGATGTTTTCTATCTGCATAATTGGTGATCCCTTTCAAGCTGCAGCAAACCATAAAGGTCACCCTCAGTAAAAGTGCTTTCAAACAGGAATCCCCTCGCTTTCAGAGGCACTGAGGCGGATAAAATAGAAAATGCGACACAAATATACAGAATGTCGATATTTCAAAGTGCTGGTGAAAAAAACAAAAAAGTGTTCTTTGTTTTATATGCTGCATCAGGGACTACTTGTGAAGTTTAGGTTGCAAGAATAAAGGAAGATGATGCAAAAAAAATAAAGAAATACTTTTTATTTTCCACTGAATTTCAGGTTTTTAATGTTTGGTCCCTAAATGTTTTGAATATATTCTGCTGCAAAACAAACTACTCACTTCAAAATAGTGATGAACTTTGTATTCAGAGTTCATTTTGGTGTTTCATCAGGAGTTTTTTCTTTTCTTTTTTTTTAACTCCCCAAGAGAAATTACCAAATGCAGACGATATGTAGTCCCTCGGGCTCAATAGCTTGGTTCAGGAGCTGCCACTTTAACTTAAAGCTCAAGGCCGAGGCTTTAACAGAACAAATAAATGTCTGTTACAGTGAAGTCCAACAAGCTCACACAGTTCTGATTCTGCCCATCAGCACCAGGTAAATCTCTCTGTACATTTAAATATGCTCCGTCACACATATCTACAGCTGCACATACTACTTACAAACTTGTTTACCTTTCTTTAACCTGCTGCTCTTGTTTAAATACATGTGTGTTTTTTATTTGTATTGGTACTTCGAGAGCAAGAAAAGTCAAATTCCTTGTATGTGAACACATAAATAACCAATACAGCCTCAGTTGATCACAGTGGAACTGAGTTTATCACTGATCTTCGGTTCACAGTCCACCTCTGATTATACAATCAACATTCACGCATCTTTAAATGAACACAACCTGAACACAACAAAGGTCTTGTGGTACATACATAGACTAAAGGATGTAGCCTCCAGGTTTGAAAAACGAAGCCAATGCCACAGTGCCTTAAACATCTAACAGCCAGCAGGGGGCGACTCTTCTGATCACAAAGAAAAGTAAGATTATATAGAAGTCTTTGAGGAAATGACCCAACTTCTCCCTTGATTTGTTACCTCATTAGTTCCCTTACAGTTTATGCTCTCAATCATTAGTCTCCTTCAAATCAACATGATGCTCTTTTTGTTAATAATATTCCTATTTTTACAAATACAGACGCTAAAGCGGGTTAAGATTTAGGGCGGGACTTGGTAGTGATTGACAAGTATGAGTGTCCTTGAGTTCTCAGCCTGATTCATCCCTTGTTTGTCACGTCTGATTTCAAAAAACCACAAAGGTCATGGCCACAATTCCAAACTCAAGACCTTGAAACAGCAGCTCAAAAACCAGTAGGTGAAGTCGCAGTGGCTACATCCGTCTTTTATACACACTCTGTGAGCAGAGGTGGATGAGGCAGGCTGAGAGAATGTGTGTCCACCACATGAGTTACAAAATGGGCACCAACCTGCCAGCAACATCCAGTCACCTCTGTAACCTTTTCAGATCAAACTCATTTCAGCATCCAGGGACTACGCAGAAAGTCCAGATGGCTCACCACTTTATTCATAATAAGTGTTGGCAAAAACATTCACATCTGATCCGTTGTTTATCTGCGACATTTCAGGACAATAAGACATTGAGGCGAGTCAGCCAGCTGTTTGAGCGCCGTCAAACGGATCCTAACCTGCTCTGCTGTCGCTCCTCTGAGCCTTGTTTCAGTTTACTGTATATTCTAATGTCAGCTGAAGTGAGTACGTGTTCGGCCGTCTCCCTGGACACTGATAACAAGACAAGCAATACATCAACCATCTGTTCCAAACACAGTGTGTGACTCAGCTTACTCATGCCTATATGCATCCCCGTGGATCAGACCTGCTAAGCTTTCAAGTGCTAATTAGTCATTGTGTTATGTGTTTGTGTGCACTTATATAGTGCAGTAGTTCCCAACCTGAGGGTTGTGACACCTTGAACAGGCCGCATTAGAGGTCTGAGTGGCCTCGAAATGTTTTGCAGGACAGTAAAAAGCAGAACCAAAGTTGTGCCACACACAATTCTGTTTGATTTTGAACTTCTCAACTTTAAGGTGCTGAATAGTTTTAGCTGACAGTCTTATTACAAGGTCCACTTAGCAGCTGTTCTGAAGCTTCCAATCGTATCACACAATCTTCCTCAGCACGTTTGTTATGGAATCATACATCTTCAAACTCCCATTTTTCCGCATGCATAGTTAATATCTTTATAATAACATATCAAACAGTAATAATAATGTTTCAACGGAAAATGTGAAAACAATGTGACAGAATTATCAGCTGAATCTGCAGCTCGTCTCGGCTTTATAGAGTCGCACAGTGAGTTTTAGCTCATTGTTTAGCTGTCCTGCAAGGAAATGTGCTGTTCTGGTTCACTGTCATTGTAGTAGAAAGCTGTAAAAGCTCACAGCAGCTCAGCAGCAAACAGCAGAAAGACACAGAGAGCAGCTGGTGAATACAACTGTTCATGTAGCAGCTAAAGAGCCACAGATCGGTGGAGCCAGTTGGTGGAGACCAAAACTAGAGTTAAAAGAGAATCAATAGTGGCCTTCATGCGGTGGACACAAACACAACTCCAAATGAACGCTCAACAATTGTGAAAACGTCAATTGTCAAAACGACTCACTTCTGCTGCCCCCAAGTGGCCAAAAAGATTTGCTATTGCGCCATGAAAATGAAAGTTTGATAGTTTTGCCTTGTAATTATTCAAATTAAATAATCTAGGAAAGTTATCAAGGGAAACTGGTGCTTGGTGAAACTATTCACAGCTCGAGGACAGGATGTAGCCTGTTACGAAAGCACACAAGGAGATATCACTGTACTTTAAGTGTTCAGCAAATCCGTGAGACAGAATGATCAGAATGTAAGGGCTGATCCGAATTTCAATTTCTGGGCTCCGAAAATTCGGGCCCATTTAATGAGGAATATCTGAATATTTGGTCCAACCGTTGGGGTTGCGGGCGAATATTCGGATATCAAAAGTGCAATCCGGATACCACTACGACCGAATACTCGGATATTCTGGTCCAGCCCTACAGAATATACTTTTCTAACTGTATGAATTTTAATTTGTCTCTCACTACCTGCATTTGGGTGTTACATTGCAACCACAAACTCCTCTCCCACTTCCTCCCGTTGTTCATTAATGAAGCCAAAATGTGGTTTAAAAAATGACGCTTATTTTATGGGACCACAACTGTTGTTTGACCAACTAACTGACATTTGATTAATTGTTAATAAACATTACAGAGCTGGAGTGTGAGTTGTCATGTTTTAAGCTTAATTGCGTGGCCATTATTAGAGAGAGGACACTGAATCAAACACTTCTACAAAGATAAAAGTCTGAGGCTTGTTTCCCTTGAAGCAGCGCTGCAGGTGAAATCACACTATCTACAAACTAAATCTTTTACCTTCATCATCAACTAACTCACTCACATAGTCCTACAGAGCCACCTTCTTTCTAAAGACAGGGTAGTTCATTTTTATGCAGCTTAATTTAATTTCAGACTCGACAGAACCTAAAGACCATGTTGATATGAAGTCTGCATTCTGCGTGTTGCTCAGTGTTTGTGTTTTAACACCAATGTGGAGACACACAACCACACCGTGTACATTCTGCTTCCTGTTGTCCACATACCTTAATCATGACATCGGCTTAAGGTTGGGTTTGTGTAGTCGTGATGGTTTATGTCAAATCTCAAGGAAATGAATGTAAGTAAACGTAATGTCCTCTAAAGCGACAGAAACGCGACTGTGTGTGAGTTTGTGACAGAAGGCAGGTCTCTTACTTGATGACCGTTCCTTTGGCGCCCCCTGCTGTTGTGAGCATGACCCTGGTGGTGAGGCTGACTCTCAGGTCCTCCTGATCCAGGCCCAGCAGCTCGGCACAGTGCTCCAGCGTCTGACTCGACTGGTTCTTGATGGCGCAGCCACCTGCAAGACGAGGAAGAGGGCAAACATCGGCACGGTGAGGCCTCTGGGGCAGTCGTAATCAAGCAAGCAAAACAGGCGATATGCTCAGCAGCTGCTGCTTTAACAGGCTGGCTACCTTCTACCTGCAGGAGAAACCGGATGATAACTCAAACCTCTACATATTTTTGATTAAATTGCTTCAATAAAAACAGCTAAAGGTTCATTTTGTTCTCCAAAAACACTTTAACAAGCACAGTAAACAAATCACATTGCAAGTGTCTTCACAGTACATCACCAATGCTACCAACTACTGACACTGAATGGACTGACAGAACGTTGGGCTGTTACTGTAAATATAACCTAATTTACAATGACAGCTATAACTGGGAATAAGAAACTAATTTCAATAGCACAAAACCAGTAACATGACAATAACAAATTGGTTGAAATAGTCGTGTCAAGCTTGCTGAAAGAAATCTTGGCATTTTGTTTGATAGTAGTTTAAGTCTTGAGCAGTGGAGCATCCAACTCAAGTTCTTGAAATGATGAAAGACTAAAGACAGGAATATATGCACATCTCCAAGCTAAAATAGGAGACAGTTAGTTGTAGTTAGGGCTGAATTGATTTGTGTATGTTCTGTGCAAGTCTTTCTATGATGTTTGCATAGAGCAGAAAGGTTGTGTAAGTCAGAGAAAGCACAGCAGGTGTGTGTTCATTTTCATCCCAGTCAATGTGCAAGGTTGTCAAGGCCCCATGCAGATTTCTTGACTGATTTTTTTTTTTTTTAGTTTTAGGTGTTGCTGAATCTGAGAAATCATCCTTCTGTAAATATTCAAGATTTGCCCCAGACGGGGAATGGTTGATTCTATGGGGGATGTTGTGGACCTGAGTCGGGCCGAAGCCTCACACAAACCCTGACAACCTAAGTGGCATTTTAAAAATGAACAAGGAGGAAAAATCTCTAGTGCAAGCAGCACACTGCCAAGATGGTCCAATCATGTTTTCATCGGCTTATAAATATTTCAGAAATGCAATCTGTCCTATCGCTTTCAGACAGAAACCATTTTACATGCTTTTACTTGGACACAATTGATCAGTGCAGAGGTACTGGCCTTAACCATAAACCCATTCACTCTTTACTGTGTCTCTCTAGTTGCCTCTCGTTTCTTTTTTGTTTGACTCCTTTGAACTTTTATGGTCAGTTCTTTTTTTTTTCCATTCTTTTTTTCTGTTTTTATTGATTCAATGTTGCGGCCCTGTTTTAAGAAGTGCTCTACAAATTAAATTATTATCCTCACCAGCATGATTGCTGCACATTCAGAGTCTGGCATCACAGGACTAACGCGCAAACATGAGTTAGTCTAAACCTCTCAGTTCATTTTTAATTTGCTAGTGGCTTTATCAGCAAGTGCACATCAAAATGCATGTAACTTTATATACCTACAACCAGTTAGAGCCACAAAGCATGTCAGCAACTGCAGATTGTAAACATCCACCCAGTTCTGTCTATGATGCTGACACGCTTCAAAAGATTGTTACACATCAGCAGCAGCCATCTTGGTTGTTTTTGAAAGTGGCTGAACGGCGCTCCGCTGTACAGCCACCGTATCAAACGCCCCACTGTAAAAAGGTTATAATCGACCTGGTGAAGTAAAGGGCGGGTGGAAGTGTGTTTGAAGGCCAGACGTATTCTGCCCAAGCAAATGAAACCTGAGCTGTAGGATTCATCGGGTTCCCCGGCTGGTACATGTTTTGTTTATTTTGTAATTTTGGCTTGGATTATTTTTACTTCTCTTTCTGATAAACAGACTTATTTATGTGTTCTTATTTCTTGCTGCTGCCACACATGAATTTCCCCTCAGTGGATCAATAAAGACTTATCTTAATTCACAGTGAGCTGCGCTGGTTTTAGTTTTTTAATTTTTTTAAAATTATGTTTCAGGAGTTAAATGGCCTAAATGTTAAATTGTCTGCACTTATATGGCGCTTTTCTATCTTAGCAGCACTCAAAGCGCTTTACAATGTTTGTCTCATTCACCCATTCACACTCACATTCATACACCAATGACAACAGAGTTGCCATGCAAGGTGCTGCCTGCCATTGGGAGCAACTTCGGGTTCAGTGTCTTACCCAAGGACACTTTGACTGTTGAGGGGCCGGGGATCAAACTGCCAACCTTACAATCAGAGGACAACCCGCTCTACCACCTGAGCCACAGTCGAACTGCAGCGTGGTGTTGAGCTTCACTCCTGACGTCTTCGGATGGAAGCTACATTCACCATTCAGCTTATTTCCACTGTTCATAAACATACAAACTCAGTTGCTACCTGGTATGACATGTCTGATGGAGTTGTGACCCGACCACGTTGTCTTTCTGAAATCTAACCTCTTATAACGTAAAAAGATTTAAGGGGGCGCAAAATCGGAATGAAGTAATCCACTGAATCCTCCACATTTCTGCAACGACAAGCAAGTCCATTACGACAAGGAGGCCCACGACTTTAAGTAGCATTCAAAGCGAGCATTCAAGGTAAGGTAGTCCAGGGAGACATGAACAAAGCCCAGGACGACCTCGGTGGGCTGCAGTCGAGCACCTGTTGTCGCTCCACTCATGCATGCTGTTTTTTTTTTTTTTTTATATGGAACTCGGTTACACTGAGAGCTGCAGCAGCTAATAAAGGCAATTAAATGTGATAAAAGTTGACATCAAACACCTTATCAGCATTTAAAAGTGCCCATAAACCCACATGTTGATCGGTGACAACGCGTCACTTCATTAGCGGGTACCTCTCCGATCAATGCCAGGAATCAATGGGCCCTGAATACTAAGCTACGCTAATATTAAATCAATATCTGGACCCTGTGAAGGGAAAAGCTCCAAGCATCTATGAGAATCAGAGCCAAGGATTCAGACATAATTCTTTGTTCATTAAACTTCATTATTTCTTGATAGATTTATCAGCTTACTTGGAAAGAAATCCTGAGAATCCTAAAAGAACTCGGTGTTGATTGTCAGCCACAACAGAAGCGATTCACAGGAAGATCATTTTGACAGTGAATTTAGATGAGAACACTGAGAGCAGGTTGACCTCTGAGTCTTCAACCTGCAGTTCAGAATACTGTGTGGATAATAGGAGAGAGAGTTTTATAAAATCCAAAGTGCTGCAAAGTGAAGAACAGAAACTAATCCGGTCATACTCTGCTGGCTGAAGGTGGGACATCGACAGCACGTCTCCACCCCTCGATCCCTACTGACCTCTCCAGCACAAGATGGCGGCGCTCATTTCCACCACATGTTGGCTTCACTTTGATCAGCGGGAAGAAGTGGTGACAGTCTGTGTTTTCAACCAAGCGGCAACAAGCGCGGCTTGAAATTGAAGCCAAGACAGAAATACCTTAAAGTGTATAATCACTGATGATCTCCTGGTGTGGCCTCCAGAACCCTCCAGTAGTTCCCCATTAGCAGAGTGTCAGCTTCTCGCATGAAACACTGAGTCAGCACATTTTCTCCAGCAGTCATGATGATGTCATTAACTGCATTTATTCCTTTTGATCAGTGTGCTGGCAGAGATTTTAAAAAGAATTCCATCATTTGGTGGATATTAAATCTCAAAGAGTTGGAGTTTTTTGGGGGGGCGTGGCCTCCTTGATTGACGAGTCTGGTCTGGAGTGATTGACAGGCCACTGAGGCAACCAGGAAGCTCATTCAATTCAAGGCACATGCATGTTGATTTGCAGCTCGTAGTAATTATGGACTGTTCCTCAGTTAATTAAACAAACCCTCAGGGGATTCAAATATCCAGTTTCTTCGTTAAGTAAATATTCATTCATTTCCTCAACAGTTTCCAGTTTTATGCAGTAAGTGGAATGTCTCCCTCGTCTGCTCCAATCAGGTTTTAACATGAAAGGCCCCGGGCTCCAACCAGAAAAGATGGAGTCTACCGCAACAGCACTGTCTAGGCTCCAATTTGCAAACCAAGAGGTGACGTCGTGGACTGCTATACCCATCTATATATACGATTTATGGATTCAGCTAGTCCTCAGGTGTGGCTCAAGCTTAGCTCAGGCTCAGAGGCCCAACTCGATCAACCAAAGACCCCTCACGAACACGGTCCAGCTACGTCTTCTCCAGCTTCTCACTTCTCCCTCTGTGGGCTCCACATCCAGGGCTGTTCGGATATTCTCTTTCTGATCACATCTACTTTCGTGCAACGACTGATTCTCTGCAACAGGTCACCGATGCGCTGGTATCTCTGATGAGTTCAACCGTAAGATGTGCAATATTCTTCAAAGGCGGCCATAGGTCTGTACTTTCTGGATGGTTGCCTTTGTCGTTCACAGTCTGAGCTGTGTATAATTGGACTTCTACGTGTTATCTCAAACTTAAAAAAAAAAAAAAAACCTCTACAGCCTTGAAAAAAACACAAATAAATACGCTTTAAAAGCTCCCTAAACCCTCCCCCGAAGGGACCCCCATCCGAACTGTAAGCCAAGCCCGGCTCAAAAACCTGGATGATTGCCTCCTCTGACTGAACACACTCTATTCGCTCGCTGTAAAACATGCGCCATGATAGCCACCTGCTGCGAGAACCAGTCAATTTAATAGGCGACCCGCTGCGTTTCCTCTTCTTCCCCGCGGAGGGAAAATGATGGGGAGGAACAGAGAGCTGAGGAACTTCACTGGTGAAGTTCAAAGGATCCGCTGACTTTCATGGAAACTGAGCTTCCCTGGAGGGTTTAGTCTGAGCCGCTGTGAAAAATGAGGCGTGAGATGGGGTGGAGCATCTGCAACAACCATGCCGCAATGTGCCTCTTGAAAAGCGGGGAATATAATACTCGAAATATTAGCTTGAGTAATTACGGCACGACTTGTTTCACTATGTAATTAATTAATTTCCATAAGATCCCGATTCGTCTGTCGTGATTTCTCTGGGTTTTAATTACACACGGAGCACAACAGGTAACAAGGGACGGCCTTTCATGACGCCGGTGTCAGATTTTCAAGACATCACTAACCCATTTATCATTGATTTATCATTGAGAACTGAACTGAGCGGGAGGGAGACGGAGGCTGAATATTACAGCGATCAATCATGGTGCAGAGTGTTGAGGGATGAGATCAAAAAGGCATCTGCCTCTCA